AAAAATCAGGAGGGACACCTCAGCTGTGAGGGTCCTCCCTGAGGTCTGAGGGGTCCCTGTCCCACACCAGGCACCCAGCTCAGGGTTCCAGTGCCAGGAAGAGAAGTCCCCATAACTTCTGGCTGGAAAAACTAGCAGGAACTGAGGCTGAGGGAGGCTGAGGCTACAGGAGCCCCAGGCAGCTCCTCTTAAAGGGCCCGTACACGGACTTACTTGGACTCGCACCCTCCAGGTTCCAGTGTGAGGGAGGCAGCTTGAAAGGCACCAGAGTCATATGGGAAAGGACTGAGTTGTTTGGCATTGGAGTGAGGGCAGGAGAAGCAGCATTCTCCTGGACAGATGTGCTGCTGTCAGAGGCCTTTATTCCTTTGGTGAGCCCTTCCCGGGGAGCGGTAGACCCTGGGACTCCAGCAACCTGGCTCACACTGGTGGCCCTGCCCTGGTGATTCCCTGAGGCCCCGCACCACCCAACTTTCAGGCCCACCCAAGCTGTTGCCAGTTGCTTTACCATAGGATTGACCTGTCTTGGATTCGGCTTCAGGTTTTCCTAAATTCTTTCAAACAAGCAGCATCTGGTCTCAGCTAGCCCCATACCTCTCGTTAAGTAATACATAGGCCCTGGCCAGTTTGGTTCAGCTATTAGAGCGTTGGCCTGCGGTCCAGAGAGACCTGGGTTCAGTTCCCGTTTAGGGCACGTAACTCAGTTGCAGTTTGTCCCCGGCCCCGTTTGGGGTTGTGCAGGTGGCAACCAGTTGATGTTTCTCTCTCTCTTCCTCCCTCTCGCTTTATTGAAGATAAATGCAAAACAATGTCCTCGGGTGAGGATTTAAAAAAACAATAATAATAAGTAATACATAGAAGCGCTGCCGGTTTGGCTCAGCGGTTGGAGCGTCGGCCTGCGGACTAGAGAGTCCTGGGTTTGGTTCCCATTAGGGGCACATACCAAAAAAAAAAAAAGTAATACATAGAAACAGACACAGGGGGGCAGCCAAAATGATGAGACAAAGAAATGGGTCCCAAATGAAAGAACAGAACAAAACACCAGGGAAAAAAAACTAAGTGAAATGGAGATAAGCAACCTAACAGACGCAGAATTCAAAACACTGCTTATAAGGATGCTCAATGGACTCAGTGAGAACCTCAGCGAACTTAGTGAGGGCCTCAAGAGCATAAAAAAAACCAGTCAGAAATGAAGGGGGCACAGTCAGAAATGAAGGAGGCACTAACTGAAATAAAGAATAATTTACACAGATTCAATAGTAGAGTAGGTAAAGTCAAGAAACAAACCATCGATTTGGAATCTAAGGAAGCAAAAAACACCCAATCAGAACAGCAAAAAGAAAACAAAATCCAAAAAAATGAGGATGGTGTAAGAAGCCTCTGGGACAACTTCAAGGATGCCAACATTCACATCTTTGGGGTGCCAGAAGGAGAAGAGAGAGAACAAGAAATCGAAAACCTATTTGAAACAATAATGGCAGAAAACTTCCCTAACTTGGTGAAGCAAACAGACATACAAGTCCAGGAAGCACAGAGAGTCCCAAACAAGATGAACCCCAAGAGGCCCACACCAAGACACATCATCATCAAAATGCAAAAGGTTCAAGACAAAGAGAGAATCTTAAAAGCAGCAAGAGAAAAGCAGATAATTACCTACAAGGGAGTTCCCATGAGGCTGTCAGCTGACTTCTCAAAAGCAACTTTGCAGGCCAGAGGTGAGTGGCAAGAAATATTCAGAGTGATGAAAAGCAAGAACCTACAAGCAAGATTACTCTCTCCTGCAAAGCTGTCATTTAGAATCGATGGTAATATAAAGAGTTTCCCATACACGGAAAAGCTAAAGGAGTTCATCACCACCACACCATTATTATATGAAATGTTGAAGGGTCTTCTTGAAGGAGAAGAACAAAAATATGAACAAACAAAATGGCAATGAATACATATCTATCGACAATGGAATCTACAAACAAAATGAACAAGCAGAACAGAAACATTCCCATAGATACAGAGAAATTCTGTTGGTTGCCAGATGGGAGGAAGGTTGGGGGAATGAGTAAAAAAGGTGAAGGGATTAAGAAGTACAAATTGGTTGTTAGGCTGACAAACCTCTAAGGGAAAGGGGTTGGGGGAAGGGAAGAAATAAACCAAAGAACCCATATGTATATATACATAACCAATGAACAGACAACAGTGTGGGGAAAGACAAGAGGGGGGCGGGAGTGGGGAGGAGGGGGTCAATGGGGGGAAAATGAGGAACATCTGTAATACATTCAACAATAAAGATAAGTTTTTTTTAAAAGGTACTGAATAGTTGAAGACAATTGGTGAGCAAATTGATGCACAGCATAGCAATGCCCTCTAGAGGGTGATGTTGTTTAACTCCACAAGCCACCCTCCAGCTGCATAATGTGTCAGTGACTTTTTTCTCCTTTCTTTTCCCTTAAGTATTTAAGTAAAATTTCTTTTGAATAATCAACCTGTTTTGACTGAGCTATAGAGAAAGTTTAAAGGATATTTTCCATCAATTCTTAGTCTGAAAAACAAAAAGGATTATTATATCTCTGGAGACCAGGCACATCTTTGGAGGTGAGAGCGAAGATTCCAGGAAAAAAACAAAACAAAAAACAAAACAGAAAGGGGAGAACTTAGAGCTTAGTTTTTCTGTCATTTCCTAGCAAGCTAGGACATGAATACTAAAAACCTCAGCTATCACATAGTATATTAGGAAACTTCAACTCTCTGAGCAACTCAAGACTCAAAAGTAAAAAAATTAAAAACAAGCTCATGGCAATAAACTTCAAAATTTAAAACTTTTGTACATCAGTCCGGCCACTGTGGCTCAGTGGTTTGAGTGTCGCCCCATTGACTGAGAGGTCCCTGTTCGATTACCGATCAGGGCACATGCCTGGGTTTCAGGCTCAGTCCCCAATGGGGGACGTGCAGGAGGTAAACAATCAAAAAGGTTGTGGGTTTGATTCCAGATCAAGGCACATACCTAGGTTGTGAGTTCCATTCTGAGTCGGGGCGCATACAGGAGGCAGCTTTTGATGTTTCTCTCTCTCTCTCTCTCTCCCTTCCTCTCTCTAAAATCAATTTTAAAAAATATCCTTGTGTGAGGATTTAAAATTTTTTAAGAAAAACCAACCTACCCTGGCCAGTTTGGCTCAGTGGCTAGAGCATCAGCCCGTGGACCAATGAGTCCCAGGTTCGATTTTGGTCACGGGCACGTACCTCGGTTGCAGTTTATCCCTGGCCCTGGTCAGGGTCGTGAGGGAGGAAACCAGTCGATATGTCCCTCTCATGTCGATGTTTCTCTCTCTCTCTCTCCTTCCCACTCTATCTGAAGATAAATAGGAAAATATCCCCAGGTGAGGATTAAAAAAAGAAAAAAGAAAAAAACCAACCTAATTTAAAAATGGGCAAAGGGCTTGGGTAGACGTTTCTTCAGAAGAGATGCAAAAGCCCATAAGCACATGAAAAGATGCTCACCATTACTAGTCATTACAGAAATGCAAATCAAAATGGGATACCACTTTAAACCTGTTAGAATGTCTATTATAAAATTTAAAAGTTTTTAAGAAACTAAAATCTATTGACGAGAATGTGGAGAAATTGGAACCCTTGTGCATTGTCAAGGGGAATGTAAAATGATGTAGCCACTGTGGAAAACAATATGGTATTTCCTCAAAAAAATTAAATATAGAATTACCATATATCCAGCCCTTCTACTTCTAGATATACACCCAAAATAAGTGAAAGCAGGCATTCAAACAGATATTTATACACCCATGCTTATAGCAACACTATTCACAATAGTTTTGTTTTTTGTTTTTGTTTTAGTGAAAAAAAGCATCAATGCAGTTTATTTCAATGCTTCTAATTTATAAGAATAACTTTTTTTTTATCCTTGCCTGAGGACATTTTTCCTTTTTTTTTTGTTCAGATAGAGTGGGAGGGAGAGAGAGGAAGAGAAAGAGAGAAAGATCGATGTGAAAGGGACACACTGAGTGGCTGCCACCTGCACAACCAACCAGGGCGGGGGACAAACTGCAACAAAGGTATGCACCCTTAGTGGGAACCAAACCCGGGTCTCTCCGGGCCACAGGCCGACGCTCTAACCGCTGAGCCAAACTAGCCAGGGCAAGAATAACTTCTTAATGCTACATCAGAAGTCAGTTCATCAGTACTTAATTTGGAAAGCATACGCAAGAAAGATCCAACATTTTATTGGGACTATACAATTTAGCACAATACTAGGCATCATACTAGAACAAAAACAAAAACACAAAATTGAAGTACGAATGACGACAGATATTTTTAAATTCCAGAGGATCAATGAACCTCCCCAAACTCTATACAAAAAGTTGTGTAATGCGTGCACTTCTCTGAGGAGAGGTCCACAACTCCAATCAACTTCTAAAGGGGCCAAACAGTACAGAATAGAATTCTAACCTCCTGCCCTGAATTTTCAGTAATGAAAGCTATATGTGAATCTCAGGAAGTTCATTCCTGCACATCTAATAGTCAGTTTTCATGGGAAGAGGGTAGAAAGGAAAACAAATAAAAGTAACTTGCAAGGACTGGGCAGGGAAGAACTCCAAAGTGCTGTTTACCTTATCAATTTAGTAACATGTTCTGGTTTAGAGAGGAGAAATAGGGAGCTAAGTGGTAATATAAGCTGAAAGCAAGGAGACTCCTATGGGATTTTTCAAATCCTTAAAAAAACTAAACTTAAGTGTGAATAAAGCAATAGCAAGAATTAAAAAATGCAATTTAACTGAAGTCCAATTTTTAGTTTCTGCATATTAACAACTTATTTTTTGAATATCACAAACTTCAATCAGAATACTTTTAAATATATTCTGCATGCATTTGGTTTTTTGTTTGTTTGTTTGTTTGTTTTTGTGTGTGTGTGGTACGTGCCCCTAGCGGGAACCGAACCTGGGACTCTCTGGTCCAGAGGCTGATGCTCAACCACTGAGCCCAACTGGCCAGGGCTATTCTGCATGCATTTAACAAATCTGTAAAAGAACAGGTATCCAGTTTACTTACATTATACTATGAAGTTTTAACTGAACAGCCCATTAATATACATTTAAGATCATGAAGTACAGGTAACAATGAAAAAGTCAATGTATTAATCTGATGGCATCCTATCACTATGCAATGTTCATTAACACTACTAGTAATTACCCTGGAAAATAGGCTAAATGTAGATGGAGAAATTTCCCTCAAAGGCAAATTTAATGGTTTAAATATCATCACCATCATCATCACTACTGAGGATAAGGCTGCTATCTGGGGACAGGACCCCTTCTTCCTGAACATTCCCCAAAACACCCACAGTCCCTTTCTCATCAGAATTATCAAACAACTTCTCACAGAAATCTTCATCAAACAACTTCTTGCTGGAATCGTCATCTTTGAACATGTTTTCATCTATATCTTCTTCATCCTCCTTTTCATCTACTACATCTTTTTTTCATCTGAATATTCAAACATTTTTGCATCTACATCATATTCTTCCTCCTTTTCATCAGCATCTTCAAGCCCCTTTTCATCTGCATCTTCTTCGTCCTCTTTTTCATCAGATTCATCATCAAAAACTTTTTCATGTATATCTTCTCCTTCCTTTTCATCTGATTCTTAGTCACTCTTTCAGAGCCTTCCTCAGAAAACACTTTTTCAGAACTGTCATCTTCAAATTCTGATTTTTCAGAGTCATTTTCTTCTCTTTTTCTAGAACATTTTCATTAAACTCCTTGTCAAAGCCATTTCCAACCAACTCTTTTTTGAGGTCATTTTCTTTCAAACTCGTTTTTCAGAGCCATCTTCAAACAGCTTTTCAGAGCAGTCTTCTTCAGATTCTCTTTCTGACTTGTCTTCTTCAGACTCCTTTTGGGGGCTGTTCTCTTCTTCAGACTCCTTTTTTTTTTTTTTTTTTTTTTTTTTATCCTCACCCGAGGACACTTTTTGTTCAGATAGAGAGGGAGGGAGAGGAAGAGAGAGAGAGAGAAACATCGACGTGAAGGGACACATCGAGTGGCTGCCACCCGCACGACCAACCAGGGCCGGGGACAAACTGCAACCGAGGTACATGCCCTTAGCAGGAACCGAACCCGGGTCTCTTGGGACCGCAGGCCGATGCTTTAACCGCTGAGCCAAACCGGCCAGGGCTAAGACCAGACTCCTTTTTAAGGCCATTCTCTTCAAAATCATTTTTGAGTCGCTTCTTTTTGGATTCTCTTCCAGGGTCACTCACTTTGGACTCTTTTTTAGGACTACCCTCTTCAAACCCTTTTCTGGGACTGTCTTCTCCAGACTCTCTTTCAAGGTAGTCTTCACGCTCTCTTTTGGGACAGCCTTCCTCAGACTTTCTTTCAAGGCAGCCTTCTTCAGATTTGTTCTGGGGGTAGCATTCTTCCACCTCTTTTTTGAGGCCACTTTCTTTAGCATCTTCTTCAAATTCTCCCCCATCTGCTATTTTTTCAAACTTCTTTTCATCTATAGGTTCTTCAAATCCCATTTGAGTTGCAGCTTCTTGAGAATTCATTTTAGATGTGCTAGAGTGCTCTGAAAAATGCCTTACTCTAGAAAGCCCTGCCCGTTCTGAAGCACAGGTGGAATTTGAACACCAAAGACCTTTATTGGCCTCAGGAGAATTGAGAAAAGCCTCCCATCCTTTCAGCCTTTCCTCCCTTTCTCTTGTGGTCTCCTCCACCTGATAATCTGTAGTTCCATCCCACACTTGGGCAGTGATTTGACGGCCACCAAACCACCGTCCATCAAGGGTTTGAATACAATAATCAGCTTCCTCTGGATCCCTGAAGGACACAGAGGCCACACCATCTGGGTGTCTATCAAACAGAAGGAGCTTCTTAATTTGTCCAAACTTTGAACACTCTACTCGAAGATCTTCTCTGATCTCATTCAGCACCAATGGATCATCCTCAAAATCCATAGGATGAAACATATTTTTGATGATGACAACTTGTTCGTGGCGCATTCGGGATGGCCCATCCCTTCTCTCAGGTCTCCAATCCAACTGCTTATGTTGCAGGGACAGCTTTTTCTTATAGTCCTTGCACTTCTTCTTCTTCTTAGAGGCATCATAGTCCCCCTTCAGTTGAAACTTTGCCACCTCGACATGTAATTTGTAGCCTCTAATTTCATTGTCATCTAAAAGTTTTAATGCAAGATCTACAGATTCCCTCTTCAAAAAACAGCAAAGCCCATCTCCTTTCATATTCCCTTGATCATCTTTGTAAAGCTTGACCTTAAATTCTTCTGTTTGAGGATCTCTCATAATAATGCCAAACTTGGACATGAGCTGTATAAATTCATCGAGTGTAATGTCTGGAGGCAAACCGGACACATACGCATTTGTATTTCTGTCTTCTTCAATATGAAACCATCCTGATTCAGCCTTTCCCTTTTCTCCCCTCTTTTTGGGATCAGTGGGTTCAAGGGGGTTTTTTTGCAGAGGTTCTTCTGCAGGCCTAGCACTAACATCTTGTACATTTGCAGTAGAGCCAGATGCACCATCATTAGAAAAGCCGTAATTGGCCTGGTATGTAGCAATGAAATCTTCAGTGATCTTGGGGAACCAAGCTTTCTTGTGCAGGTCCCACTCATAGAGGATGTCATCTGGCTGCTGTCCAAAATAATTGGTTTCTCTACCAGGATCTTTCTGGGCGTCTTCATCCTTGGTGTCTCCATACAATTTTTGCATTCGCAACTGCTCATCAAATTCATCTTCCCCATCCAAGTTGTTGCCACTCATGTTGCCGATTTAGCCCAACAGCACAGTCCAGGCACGAGCCTAGAGGGGAACAGAAAAAATGTGGTTTGCCAAGCTTGGCCTTTCCCACGTGTGCCTCCCCACAGTACCCCAGCAGTTCCTGGGAGGTCAGGACATACAGCTTCTGGAGCAGCTTCCCTTGTCCACCAACCTCCCACAATAGCTTAAACGTGCAAGTAACCCAAGTGTACATTGACAGATAAATGAATGAACAATATATGACATAGACACATAATGGAATATTATTCAGTCTTAACAAGTAAGGAAATTCTGACATATGCTACAACATGGATGAACCTTAAAGATATTATGCAGCTCTGGCTGGTTTGGCTCAGTGGTTAGAGCATCGGCCTGCGGTCCAGAGACCGGGGTTTGATTCCCACTAAGGGCACGTACCTCAGTTGCAGTTTGTCTCTGGCCCTGGTTGGGTTGTGCAGTGGCAGCCACTTGATGTATACCTTTCACATCGATGTTTCTCTCTCTCTCTCTCTCTCTCTCCCCCTCCCTCCCACTCTATCTGAACAAAATATGGAAAAATGTCCTCAGGTGAGGATAAAAAAAAAAAGATATTATGCAAAGTAAGATAAACTAGTAACAAAAGAACAAACTTTATATGATTTCCTTTATATGAGGTATTGGAGTGGTCAACTCATAGAGACAGATAGTAGGATGGTGGATGCCAGGGCTGAGGAGAGAAGGGAATGGGAGTCATTGTTTAATAGGCACAGAGTTTCAGTTTTGCAACATGAAAAGAGTTCTGTGGATAGTTGATGTAGACCATAGTACAACAGTGTGAATGTACTTAACACTACTGAACTGTACACTTAAAATGGTTAAGATAACCCTGGCCAGGTGTCTCTGTGGTTAGAGTGTTGGCCCACACACCAAAAGGTTGCAGGTTCATCCCCAGCCCAGGTGGTCATCAGGATGTGTGTGGGAGACAAAAAATTGATGTGTCTCTCTCACATGGATGTCTCTCTCTCTCCTCTCTCTCCCCGCCTCTCCCTCCTCATTCTCCTCCCTCATATAAATGGAATCATACAATATTTGTCTTTTTATGACTGGCTTGTTTCACTTAGCATAATATCCTCAAGTTTCATCCATGCTATAGCTTGTCATAACTTTCTTCCTTTTTGAGGCGGATAATATCCCGTTGTATGTATATACTACATTTTGCTTATATATTCATCCATCAATGAACACTTGGGTTGCTTCCATGTTTTATCTATTGTGAATAATGCTGCTGTGAGCATGGGTATATAAATATCTGTTTGAGTGCCTAATTTCACTATTTTGGATATATATCTAGAAGTAGAATTGCTGGGTCATATGGTAACTTTATATTTTATATTTTGAAGAACCATCATACAAAAAATTTCTACCATTAAACCTACATGTTTTCCACAACACCTGTAACATTTTACATTCCCACCAACAATGCACAAGGATTCCAATTTCTCCACATCCTCACTAACACTTGGCATTCTCTGTTTTTTAACAGTAGAATAGTACTATTCTATCACTTCATTAGGATACTATTAAATAAAGTGATATCTCATTGTAGTTTTGATTTGAAATTCCCTAATGATTAGTGATAGTAAGTATCCTTCATGTGTGTACTGGCCATTTATATATCTTTGGAGAAATGTCTACTTAAGTCATTTGCTCATTTTTGTTTCATTGTTGAGTTGAATACGTTTTGAAACAAAAAAAAAAATTAAATTGAGAGAAAAAGATTCTCCCTGAGACCATCTATTAAAACCTTATCTAATCAGCCCTGGCCCCTGCGGTTCAGTTGGGTGGAGCACATACCCAGGTTGTGGGTTCAATCCCCCCTGGTCGGTTGGGGCACGTCAGTCTCTAAAATAAAGGGAAAAATTATTTTTTAAAAAATAAACAACAAAAAACTTACCTAATCAGCTACCTGTCTGCATAATAAGGCCTGGATTTACTACTCACCACTTTCTGAAGTCTCAGCAGTCATTTAAAAGTCTACAATTGAACCTACTTCCACACCTATATCCACCCCAAACCCACTCTTACCCCACCCTTCCCTGTGCGTTCCGGCAAGCATGTGGCAAATCACTAGCGCTATTTAATCACCCTTCTTTTCTCTTTCCGCCTGTGGGTTTGCAGGACTGTCGAACACCTTCCTCTACAACGTACATTCACTTAATTGAAACTTTTTCTGAGTTGCCTTCAGCCTTTCCTTCTCCAGGCTAAAATTTCCAAAATCCTTAAAAAATGGTTTCCTCTCAGCGCTATCATTAACTAGTAGAGGGAAGAAATGACAGATTCCTTGGTCCCAACAGGGGCCTTGGTACCTCTAGTCAAGCGGCAACCGCCACGTAGAAACAACAATGTCAGCCTTTCGAACTCCAATCCCGACGTGCAACGCGAGCGTGGGTGGGAACAACCTTTGCTGAACTCTGCAGGATCAGGGATCTAGAATTCTGACAGTTCTCGTGCGGAAAGGGCGCGTGCCTTGCTAGAACGCTCCTTGATTACGGAATAACGCCTAAGCTTACTCACCTCGTCTCCACTACTGCCCCCACGGTCTCGCACGTCCGCAGCCCTGGTTTACTCCCTGCAGCCTGCAGCCACCACCTCCTTTCCCAAATCGGGGGCGCCTCTCGAGCCTCAGACCTTTGCGCTCCCAGTCCCTTCTGCCTGGGAAGCCTGCGGCTTAACTCTAGACCCACTCAACTCTATGGTGTTCTTGGATCCATTCCTATTTCCACTCTGACTGAGACAGAGTAGGGTTTCAATAAGTGCTGATAGGCTGAATGAATGAATAAGGAAGGTATCATGAAACAGTAAGTTTTATCACCCACACAACTTGGCAGAAAAAATGTGGAACTATGAAATCAGACAGATCGGATTCCAATATCAGTTATTCCACTTACTAGATGGGTGATCCTCACACCCTCTCGGAGTTCAAGAAATGTTTGTTGAACGAATGAATAAAATGTTCTCACAAAGACGTGTGACGAATTAAATGAAGTAATGCCTGTGTCGTCCCTGGCCACAACCAGCGCTCAGGAGAATTACTACTCGCCCTACTATACGACGTTTCGTGTTTATGTAGACCGTGAGTTTCCTGTGGGAAGGGGATGTCTTGACTCGGTTCAAAGCTCCCCAAGATGCCTGGTCACATTAGATGACTAGGATGACGGAAGACTTCAATTTTTAACATGCTCGGGGCGGGGAAGATTACATATCCAGAATGGGTCTGGCACCTTCGCAGACCACAAATATCATCATCACACAAGAATCTCAGCTTGTTCATGTACAAATGAAGGCCTACTATACTTGCCCATCTAGTCTGCGGTCCATAGAACCCCACCCCCAGCGCTTCAAAAGGTCAAGTTTCAGGCGGCGGCGCCCCACGCCTGGCTCCAAACTGCGGCACTTTAGGACCGGTGCCTAGGCAAGACGCATGCGCACTCTCCTCTCCTCCCTCCCTTCATTAATCCTCCGCGTTTCGAGTACTGGGTCCTTTTTGTCCCCTACTGCGTGCGGTGTCAGTTTCCGTGCGGAAGTGGTAGCCGTGAGAGAAGATGGCGAGCGCTATGGTGGTGACAACTGGTGTGGTGGCCAGTCGGGCTAACAAGCGAAGTGTCTGCGGGCCGGGAGGTGGTGGCGGCGGTGGGGTAGCCCGGGGGGCGGAGGAGGAACCCCCGCCGCCCCTACAAGCAGTTCTGGTGGCTGATAGCTTCAATCGCCGTTTCTTCCCCATCTCCAAGGACCAGCCTCGGGTGAGCGCCGGCCGGGGAGCAGCCAGAGGGCCCGGAGTGGCGGGGCTGGAGCTAGTTATCCTGTCCTCTGCCTAGTGAGGCGTGCTTTGGAAGGACGTGTGTCCAGCCTCTTCCCTGAAATCGGGTTTATCGAGTTAGGAGAAAGGCGGACTGTCTAAAGCCTGACCAAATGAGTGGCTGGCAGACTTGGTAGTGCTGTGTAACTCAGATTTGGGAGGCATGCAGAGAACTAAATTGTAGAAGCAGTGCTTGAGAGAAACCTTCACGCGGTGATTCAACTCCCCGTGAGGAGGCTGCAAGGCGTTCATGCCGAGGGGGAAAAAAGAGATCCTCAAGTGAAAGGAAATATTATCTCTTTTTGCCTCCAAAAGGGAGGTCGTATGCCTAAAAAAGACCAGACTGATCTGATCCCGTAGTAACAGCTATTCTGGATCTCAGTACAGTGTGCTTTATTTCCCTTACAGATTTTAATGACAGCCAGTGCCATCTGTCTAAAGAAGGACAGAACAAGTTTAGTGGTTGGTTGCTAGGAGCCTCTGTCTTGTTGTCTAGACCAGCGATTTTCAACCTTTTTCATCTCATGGCACACATAAACTAATTACTAAAATTCTGCGGCACACCAAAAAAGATGTCTTTTGCTGATCTGACAAAAAAAATAGGTATAATTTTGATTCATTTACACCAAATGTCTGTTGTAATTTTTTATTTGATAGTCTAAGGGGAAAGTGGTCAGTGCCCCTGTATTGCATATTTTTAAAATTCTTGCTACACACTGGTTGAAAATCACTGGTCCAGATACTGGGGAGTTGGACTGAGCTAAGAGCTAGTCCTGGAGATTGCTGGGTGGCTCAGCCGTGCCTAGTTCAAAGAGAGGGAACTGCATTCAGTTCAGGGAAAATTCTAACTCATCACTTCCAGCAAAAAGCCTAATAGCTGTTCATTTTGGAGAGGTGATTGAGGTTGGCTAGCCCCCGACTCTTAGAAAGGGATCAAGGAAGAAAATTATATGGGGAAAAGGCCTTAGTGGTGCTTAAGTTTCTGAGGGATATGATTGATTTCCAGTATTCTCCTTTGCTATAGGTGGTCTATTCAGTTGCAGCTCTGTGTCTGATGCTAAGCAAGTATATGTCTGATGCTATGCTTACTATATCCAAATTGCAATACCTTAGACTCTGATGCTTAGAGTATGCAATGAACATCAGAGGCAGAAGCCTGATTACTTTTAAGTTGGAATGATAAAACAAAACTATAGCATTTGGAAACACTGATATAGGAGTGAAAATAGTTTTTGTAGTAGGGGAAGGAGTGGTACGCAGAGGGCCAGATCCAAGACTTTACATTTTTTTCATCTCCTGACCTGCAGGTCCTCTTGCCCTTGGCAAATGTGGCACTAATTGACTACACTTTGGAATTTCTGACTGCCACAGGTGTACAGGAAACCTTTGTCTTTTGTTGCTGGAAGGCGGCTCAAATCAAGGAACATTTACTGTAAGGCCTTGCAACTTTTCTTTCCATGTTTCATCAGTTTTCTTAGGATGAATGTAACTAAATAAGGGGAAAATGTGTCTATATAGATCCCATTATAAGGTCTAAGGGTATTCTCCTCACTTATCAGTAGGTGAGCAGCTAAAACTGTGAGAAAGATTAAAGAAAAACATTTGGTTTTTTTTCTGAATCTCACTAATAAAGTTTTGTCCTAGTGGATTTTGCTTTTTATTTTATGGCTCCAATATGGAAGTTATAAGAGTAACATGTTTGTTTGTTTTTCCACTGAGCTTCTAAATGTTAAGCTGTTCTTCGTCTTTGTAGTCTCAGTGCTTAGCTTAGTACCAAGCACATAATAAACATTTAACAAATGTTTGGTGAAATCTTCTTGAAAAAGAGCAAATGTCAGGATTTATGGAAACTTAGGAAATAAAGACTTGGATATTAGCATGGTCTGCATTAGACAGTTCCTAAATTTGGTCTGGATTTTGAAAGGAGAAAAATGGCATGAAAAGTATGTTTCCAAAAGTTTATATATCCTAAATTCTCAGCAGGATTTTGAATTAAAATCCTGGGGTCAGGCTATGGAGAGGAAATAACCATGTTTCTCTAACCCATAAAACAAGCCTGGTGACACAGGATGCTGAAACCATTAATTATAGTTCATAAATCTCTTTGAAATTGAGGACGCTGGCAGGAATCCAAAAAAGCCATAGGGAGCCCTGGCTGGTGTGGCTCATTTGGTTGAGCGTTGTCCCATGTACCAAGAAATCACCAGGTCAATTCCCAGTCAGGGCATATGTCTGGGTTGTGGGCTACATTCCCAATCAGGGGCATGCAGGAGACAGCTCATCTATGTTTCTTTCTCATGGATGTTTCTCTCTCCCTTCCTCTCTCTCTGCCTCTCTAAAATCATTAAAAACATATTTTTTTTAAAAACCATAGAGAGCCCTGGCCGATTTGGCTCAGCGATTAGAGTGTCAGCCTGCGGTCCAGAGAGACGGGGTTCGGTTCCCGCTAAGGGCACATACCTTGGTTGCAGTTTGTCCCTGGCCCTGGTTGGGTTATGCGAGTGGCAACCACTCGATGCGTCCCTTTCACATCGATGTTTCTCTTTCTCTCTTCCTCCCATTCTATCTGAACAAAAAATGGAAAAATGTCCTCAAGTGAGGATAAAAATAATTTTTTTTAAATAAAATAAAATAAAAAGCCATAGAGAAAGAGTGTGAATGTTGATTGGGGGAGAAAAACAGGGAAGTTCTACATGATATTTATGATTATTCTCATTCCCTTCACTCCCCCTTCCTTTAGAAAATCCAAGTGGTGCCGCCCTACATCCCTCAATGTGGTTCGAATAATTACATCAGAGCTATATCGATCACTGGGGGATGTTCTTCGTGATGTTGATGCCAAGGCCTTGGTGCGCTCTGACTTCCTTCTGGTATATGGGGACATCATCTCAAACATCAATATTACCAGAGCCCTGGAGGAACACAGGTCAGGATGGGAAAATGGTAGGGACAATGGTGTGTGACCAGCAGAACCCTAAGACTCTCTCCCTCCTATCCTTTGTAGGTTAAGGCGAAAGCTAGAAAAAAATGTATCTGTGATGACAATGATCTTCAAGGAGTCATCTCCCAGTCACCCAACTCGTTGCCAGGAGGACAACGTGGTAGTGGCTGTGGATAGTGCCACAAACCGAGTTCTCCATTTTCAGAAGACCCAAGGCCTTCGACGTTTTTCTTTTCCTCTGGTGTGTGGGTATCAGCATTTTTTGAGGTAGGAAAGCAAGAGATTCAGCAAGAGAGACGAGTTAAAATCCTTGTAACCTCTCCCCACAGAGTTTGTTCCAGGGCAGTGGAGATGGAGTGGAGATTCGCTATGATTTACTGGATTGTCATATCAGCATCTGCTCTCCTCAGGTGAGCCCTTCAGGGCCAGGGCTGCACATCAAAGAGTAGAACTCTGAGGGTGTGTTACTCCCCACTAGAAGGCTAGGGTATATTTCTTCTTTTCCTTTCTCTGATCTGTTCTACAGCAAATAGTTGACCCCAATATTGGGAGCCTTTTGGGGATTCGGGCCCATGTTCTGCTGTCATGGGGTCTGATAGGTCTCTGGGGACTTATCTTTGCTTCCAGAAAATAGCACTTACCCTTGGCCTCATCCAGCTTTCTCCCATAGGTGGCTCAACTCTTTACAGACAACTTTGACTACCAAACTCGGGACGACTTTGTGCGAGGCCTGTTAGTGAATGAGGAGGTAAGAAAAAGGTCCCGGTGTCTCTTTAAAAGAAGGTTAAGCCCTGTCCAGGTAGCTCAGTTGGTTGGAGTGTCCTCCTGATATGCCAAGGCTATGGATTTGATCCCTGATCAGGGCACATGTAGGAGTCAACCAGTGAATGCATGGATGGGTGGGACAGCAGGTCAGTGTTTCTCTCTCTAAAATCAATCAATAGGAAAAAAGTTTTAATAAAATAGGGCTAAGATTTTATCTCACTTTTCTGTTTTATCGAGCCTTAGGAGGGATGAAAATAGCTGGGGTGGGGGGAAGCTATACACAAATACCATTTGGCTATGACATTGAGAGGCAGAGGAAAACTTAAGAAGGTGAGAAAAGTGTTGTGCCTGGGGATGTTCTTCCTTTCTTGCTTGGGCGACCTCCCTTTCCTTGTCCTCATTCAGATTCTAGGGAACCAGATCCACATGCATGTGATAACTAAGGAATATGGTGCCCGGGTCTCCAACCTACACATGTATGCAGCTGTCTGCGCTGATGTCATCCGCCGATGGGTCTACCCTCTCACCCCAGAGGCAAACTTCACTGACAACACAACCCAGAACTGCACTCATTCCCGGCACAACATCTACCGAGGGCCTGAGGTCAGCCTGGGCCATGGCAGCATCCTGGAGGAAAATGTGCTCCTGGGCTCTGGCACTATCATTGGCAGCAATTGCTCCATCACCAACAGTGTTATTGGCCCTGGCTGTCACATTGGTGAGCACAGGTGGGGAAGTCAAGTCAGCCATTCTAGGAGCAGGAACCTGGGGAGGCCCATATCTCCAGAGAAGGAGACAGAGGAATAGTCCCTAAGGATAAGGAACTAGAGTGGCTACCGTAATAAAAAAGGGAACAGAGATGTAAAAACAGTGATGCTTTAATTTGTGCCCTGTGAGCTTCTTATTGGGTGATTCGTTACATTCCAGTATACCCCATATTTATATTCGGGACCAAGTGCATAATTAATATGCAATAATAACATCTGTGCAGCTTACAAAGACCTTTAGCATACTTATTTTATTTAATCCTCACTAAAACCTTGTGAGGTATATGTTTTTTCTCCCCAGTTTATAGATAAGCAAACTGGTTCAAAGAGGTTGTCTCACCTAAGGTCATAGCTAATAAGAGGTAGTGCTGGGACTTGAATCTGAGTATTCTGATTATTAAGTCCAATGTTCTTTTTACTGTACCATACTGCCTGGTTAGCCTCCTGGTGACTCACTTTGGATACAGGAATGTGATGCTTTAAATGGAACTGCCCCTTTAAAACAACAAGATTCTAATTCTAAATGTACAAGAAGTAGAATAGATATGGACATGACTCTAATAAGGTTCTTGAGTTTTAGGGGTCCCCAGAAATCTTGAAGGTTCTCAGGTTCTTAAGTCCTATGTGATAGTCTGCAATTGTCATAAACCTGGTGGAGGGTGGTTAGGCTGAGCAAACGTTCTTTCAAGCCTGGGCTTAGAGGGGAAGTGGGTGTTTCTGATGAGTTGGGGGATAGAGTATTTGAGCTGGGTGGGAGCTATGCTGGTGTCAGTCAGCCATGTCTTCCAGGAAAGGCCCTGGTCTGGAGTTGGAGCCCTGAGTGACCAGGAGTCCTTCCTGTCCTGAGCCAGGTGATAATGTGGTACTGGACCAGGCCTACCTGTGGCAGGGTGTTCGAGTGGCTGCTGGAGCACAGATCCATCAGTCTCTGCTTTGTGATAATGCTGAAGTCAAGGAACAAGTTATACTGAAGCCACACTGTGTCCTCACTTCCCAGGTGAGAACTAGTTCCATACTGCATACAGGCCCCAAACTGAGTGGTGGTCATACTGAGCTAGAAGGGACCTATGTCTAATTATAGGTCCTGTCTGAATTGAGAGTCCAAATCCAGTGGTTTCATTTGTTTTCTACTTGGCTTAATAAAAAAAAGTCACTCACATTGTCAGGATGTACCTTTCCCCAACACACTGATGGATCTATGCCACCTACTCCTTTTTTCTCCCCTAGGTGGTAGTGGGCCCAGATATCACACTGCCTGAAGGCTCGGTGATCTCTTTGCACCCTCCAGATGCAGAGGAAGATGAGGATGATAGCCAGTTCAGTGATGATTCTGGGGCTGACCAAGAAAAGGAGAAAGTGAAGCTGAAAGGTGTGAGGCTCAGCAGGTGTGGGGCATCTGCGTATCTCTCTGCCCCATAGAAAAAACATTTTTTTCCTGGAGGGATGGGTACTTCTACTGGGCCTTTGCTAAAAATCAGTGGTTTTTCCAGGTTACAATCCAGCAGAAGTCGGAGTTGCAGGCCAGGGTTATCTCTGGAAAGCCGCAGACATGAATATGGAAGAAGAAGAGGAACTACGGCAGAATCTCTGGGGTGAACTAGGCGTTTATACACACACACCCTTTCTAAATCAGAATATTTTGAAGGAGAAGGGAACACTTCACAATCAGACTACTTGTTCACTGCTATTTTCATGCAGACAGGGCATATATATGATTCTTTGTCAATGACTTTTTCCTTATTTTTACTTTTTTCTCACCTTGTATGGGTTCTCAGGACTCAAAATCAACATGGAAGAAGAGAGTGAAACTGAAAGTGAGCGAAGCATGGATTCTGAGGAGCTGGATAGCCGGGCAGGCTCCCCACAGATGGATGACATCAAAGGCGAGTGGCCAGGGATGTAGTATCTTGGGATAAAAGAGGGAAACCTCTAGTTTTTTCTTTATCTGGATCAGCTAGCCAAAAGCTTGTGTTCCTCCCAGGAAGGGTTCGGTATAAAGTCAGAACTATATGACTGAACACATTCTGGAGTGATGTTAGCCCATGTACTTACTCTTACTTTGTTTTTAGTGTTCCAGCATGAGGTCCTGGGAACACTACAGCGAGGCAAGGAGGAGAACATTTCTTGTGACAATCTAGTCCTAGAGATCAACTCTCTCAAGTAAGAGCAGCCCCTCCCTATTTTCTTCTCTTAGGGTAGTCCCAGGCAGATAGAGGTTCTCCTGTTTCTTCCCCACATAGGAATCTGTTCCCTTGACATCACAAATGGACAAAGCCAGTAACATTTAGAACAAGGAGAGCATTAGGTTTCAGACTCAGCATAGATTTCTTCTTCTAAAATCTTCCCTTTCCACCCTGGCCAGTTTGGCTCAGCGGTTGGAGCGTCGGCCTGCGGTCCAGAGAGACCTGGGTTCGGTTCCTGCTAAGGGCATGTACCTCGGTTGCAGTTTGTCCCCAGCCCTGGTTGGGTCGTGCGGGTGGCAGCCACTCGATGTGTCCCTTTCATGTCGATGTTTCTCTCTCTCTCTCTTCCTCCCACTCTTTCTGAACAAAAAAATGGAAAAAGTGTCCTCGAGTGAGGATAAAAATAATAACAATAATAATAATAATAAAATCTTCCCTTTTCATGTTGTCCCACCTGACTTCCTCTTCCCCCGTGTCCCGCCAAAGTCCTACAGCACGCTGAAAGGGCCAGTGAAGGCCTTGGTGTTACCACAGTCTCCCCACAGGTACGCCTACAACATAAGTCTAAAGGAAGTGATGCAGGTGCTGAGCCACGTGGTCCTGGAGTTCCCCCTGCAACAGATGGATTCTCCGCTGGACCCAAACCGCTACTGTGCCCTGCTGCTTCCCGTGAGCAAAGACAGGCTGGGTACAAGGGATTGAGTAGAGGCAAATACACATCCTTGCTGTGGTGATTTTAAAAGAAACGAGGAGTAGGTCTTGTTGTGGGGTATTGTGTTAGTTGTGATTCCTTTCTCCTTGCCTCTGGATTCTAGAAGCAGCTTGGATTCTAGTGTAGCCTTGACTGGTCCAGAGGAGTCAAGTTAGGTTTAATACTGAGTGGTCTTTGAGACTCCAGGATTCAGACCATACCAGACCCCAAAGGTATATCCAGAATAGACCTGGACATTCAGACTCTGTAAATGATTTTGACCCAGAATGAGATCAACCTGTAGGCTCAGAATAGGTATTTTTGAGGCAGCCTGCATATCTGACCCCCTTTTACCTTCCCTGGAGAACCTCTTTTTCCCCAACCCTGACTGCTAGCAATTCCTAAATCCTTTGGCATGATGACACAGGTTCCCTCTTGGTTTCCTATATCATAAAAGATGCATGTTATCTATATTTATTTTCTTTGCCGTTCAGGTGTAGGTACATGCTCAGGCATATATTACAGGTTCCTTCTTCTTCCACAGCTGCTCAAGGCCTGGAGCCCTGTTTTTAGGAACTACATAAAGCGTGCAGCCGATCATTTGGAAGCACTAGCCGCCATTGAGGACTTCTTCCTGGAGCATGAAGCTCTTGGTACTTCTATGGCCAAGGTGAATACCACCTCAAGCCTCACAGTCCTACATTTGCTTTGAAACAGGCCTTGATTACCTTCATGGAGACACAAAACAGAGACTGACATGAATCCAATATAAAGTTTGGTTATCAGCACCATTCACCCCTGGTATTGTGCTCGTTGCTGGGATGGTACAGCTTGGAGCCAGGCTAGGAAGGCAGCCATTTGGAAGTTGCCCTAGGATAGTGCAAAGCACTACCTAGCAATAGTTCCAGAAGTTATACCTGTCCCAGTACCACAGTGAACAGTTTACTCTTGTCTGTTTTAGACGAATCTGCTCATTGTGTAGAAGGAAGCTAAGGACGCAGAGAGAGGTGTTAAGATCTTGCCTGCTCTTCTTTGTTATCCATTATATCTTGTTGGACTCTGCATGGTCCCTGAGATCTCTGTTGGCCTTCTGCAGGTACTGATGGCTTTCTACCAGCTGGAGATCTTGGCTGAAGAAACAATCCTGAGCTGGTACAGCCAAAGAGAGATAACTGACAAGGGCCAGCAGTTGCGCAAAAACCAACAGGTGAGTCAAGCTACCCTCGGTTGTGGTGGTTGCCTGGTTCCCTGACCCTTGGCCTGCAGGGTGGTTGGTCCTGGGACTCTGGTTATTTGAGTTGTTCATCCACAAGATGAACAAGAGAGTTATGTGCTCTTTCCTCAGTAGCTTTCCACTATGCTTTCTTACAGCTGCAGAGGTTCATCCAGTGGTTAAAAGAGGCAGAAGAGGAGTCATCTGAAGATGACTGAAGTCGCACTGCCTGTTTCTGTGGGTGTGGTTGAAGACCCTCCTGGCTTCTGGGCCAGAGCAAGTGGGAGGCTAGTTGCAGAAGATGGGTGACCACCATTCTGGCTAAGACTTAAAAAGGAGCAGAGACTGGAACTACAGTATTCTTCCCACCACCAGTAACCATGTGCCTCGCATCCTGACTGGGGAGTTGGGATTAGGGAAGTTGAGCTGAAACAAAGCTCTGCCTAAGGAGGAGCTAAGCAGGCCCTGCAGTTAGAGGAAGACCAGAGGCACAGCTTTGTGCTTTGGCTTTCCTTCGGGAAACAGCAGAGACAGCTGGCCCTTTCTGCTGCTTGTATTTGTTAATATTAAAAAAAGAGAGATTTCTGTCCAACTCTGACTGATCAGCTCTTACAGTAGTGACCAAAGAGTTCTGAACCTCTGACCTGACAGCCTTTCCTTAACAGCAGGGGGAGCAGAAGAGGGGTGTTATGGCCACTAGGTGGTACTGTGGTGCCTTGCTAATTGACCGTTGCCATAGCTCATGGGTAATGGAGGACCTAGATTCTTTTCTAGCCTCTGGACCAGTTTGTCTCCTGGAGTAGTGTGCTTGAGCCTGTTTCCAGAGAGTGTCCCAGTCCCGAGCACTTTTCTGCCTGAGAGTGATGATGCCAAGCATGTGTAAAGTCTGTTAACCACCTGCCAGTCCTTCGTGCTTGTTCATTTGATCTAGTACTACTGTCGGGGGAGCTGGGCTGCTCTTCATCTTAAAGATGAAGAAATTTGCTCAAGGTCTCATCACTCTTGAGGGGGTAAAGCTAAGGATTTGAGCCTCATAATCCAGAATTCTTTTTGCTTCGGCAGATTTAGTGTCTAGGTGAAGAGAAAGTGCCCACGAAAACTAATATAACCCTAAGCCAGCAATGAATATCTTAAGAACAGAGGGAGAGCCTGCCAAATCTTTTCCCCTAATATTGAAAGTGTTTCCCCTAATTGAAAACGTTTACTGTGACAGGCATTTTGCTAAAAGCTTTTTATGTTATTTTAGTTAACCTTTCACATCAGCCCTATGATGTAGCCTTATGCTCATTTTCAAATGAGCCTGAAGTTCAGAGAGGTCCTATAACTGGTAACTGATAGAGCCAAGATTTGTTACTGGACTCTAGAATTGGAGTTTGTCTCCTTTAACCTCAACCATATGTCCTTCTGTCTCATCTTTTTGAGCTCTTTGTTGTCTTCACATAACACTTACTCTATTGACAATTAAATTGTGGCAAATGTTAACTGGTAACAAGTGGCCCTCCTGAAAATCACAGATAAAATGGTTCCCTTCCTTTATTTCAGTTGGGTGGAATGGAGTTAGCCAAAGAGGATGATACTGAACTGTACTGAAGAGGTGTGAAGCTATTACTGAGTATTTCTAAAGAAGAAAAAACAGGCTGGCCAAGATTTGGCCTTATTTACTTTTATTCAGTAAATCTCAGTTTCTACTTTGTCAGATATAGGATCTAGTGGAGCATATGACGGTCATGTCACGGACCTAATAGGGTCAGTTAAACACAAATAACTATAGAATACCTCTGATTTGTACCTAATGGGTGGCAGAGATCAGAGTGGCCTGTGGAACTTTTTAGGAGGAACATATTTCTTCCAGTTGCAGTGATTAGGGAAGGCTTATAGGATTGTCACGCTTAAGTGGCCTAAAAAATAGAAAAGCTTAGAAAGGAACATTAAAACAAGGCCATTTAAACATGGCAAGTTAAACAAATGGGTTTTTACTCCCTCCAAAGCCCTATTCAAATGCCACTAGGGGTCCTTTAAAAAGGCATATGACTGACCTGGCCAGTGTTGTTCAGTGGTTAGAGTGTTGGCCCAGGCACCAAAGGGTCTCAGGTTCTATTCCCTGTCAAGGACACGTACCTGGGTTTCAGATTTGATCCCCGGCTCCAGTTGGGGCACTAGCGGGAGACAACCAATTGATGAATCTCTCGCATCAATGTTTCTCTCTCTCTCTCTGCCTTCCAGATACTTTCTAAAAATGTAAAAACATATCCTCAGGTAAGGATCAACAACAACAAAAAAGGCACATTGACTGCCTGACCCGTGTGGCTCAGTTGAGTGTCATCCCATGCACCAAGAGGTTACCAGTTTGATTCCCAGTTAGGGCACATGCCCAGATTGCAGGTTTGATCCCTGCTAGAGGGTGTGCAGGAGGCAGCGAGAGATGTTTCTCTTCCTCTCTAAAAATTACATGAAAACATTAAAAAAAAAAAAAAAACTTTAAAAAAGGCAAATTGACTCAGTAATAAGGAAAACTAGGTGACAACAATAAATGAGAGACCAACATTTTGCAAAATGAAAAATGGGAGAGTGAAAGTTTACTTAGAACAGACTAAGATGGGTTACACCTTCTCAGATGGTTATTAAGAAGCAAACCAATGTGCCCTGAATCCAGAAAAGGTCCAGGAAAGGTGTAAAGATTGGGGCTGAAACGGTGACTAGAAGGGAATCACAAAAACTTGTATAAGAAAAAGCCCTCCAGGTCATTATATGATCCAGCCACTTGGTTACCCCTATTTCTCCCCTGCAAGAAATGAGAGATTCCGTCATTAGAGAAATGGTGAGGCGGGAATTGTCAAAGAAATATAAAGGTTTCCTAAACCCAAAGTGTATAGACTGACAGCCCATGAGTGCTCAGCATCATGAGTGAAATAGCCACATGAAATTTCAAAACCTCAGGGAAAAGGTAAATTATTAGGTCCTCTGAATTCAACAACAGGTATGGTAGAGATGGATGGGGTTGAGGGGCTAGATTGAAATGGAAGGATTTAGTGAAAGTATATGAGTGTTAGGGCTCTGAAGATCAGCACACACTGATTTATATCTCCAGGCAAAAACAAAACTGCAGAAAAAGTCTTAAAAATATTTTTTTTGGCCCTGGCCGGTTTGGCTCAGCGGTTAGAGCGTCCGCCTGCGGTCCGGAGAGACCCGGATTCAGTTCCTGCTAAGGGCGCGTACCTCGGTTGCAGTTTGTCCCTGGCCCTGGTTGGTCGTGCGGGTGGCGGCCACTCCATGTGTCCCTTTCACATCGATGTTTTCCTCTCTCTCTCTTCCTCTCTCTCCTTCCCACTCTGTCTGTACAAAAAATGGAAAAATGTCCTCGAATGAGGATAAAAAATATATATATATTTTTTGTTTCCTCTGGGGAGGTGGAGGTGGCATTTTGCCCCCACTTGGTCACCCTACGTTAAAGCCTGTTAATAAGCCTTGCACATAGTTTCCAATCAGCTTTTTAGTACCTCACTTATAGATATGAATAGACTGCCAAGGGCTATCAAACATTTGAGGATACTTCCAACGTAGAACGCAGAGACCAAAAATTGAAACTAAGGAAACAATTTTGGAGCTTTTTGAAAACTTCAGGAATGAAGCTATAATTTTCAAAATTCAGAGGATGAAGAAAGTAGTATAAAAAGGAAGGATTGGAGAACAAAAGAGTTCATAGACATTAAAAATACATGAAGTGTTTCCTTCTACTGAGAACTGGAGGACTAGAGAACCAAATAGAGGGAGACTTATATTCATCCTTACATACTTTCTGAATTTTAAATTGTGAATATTTTACCTATTCAATTGGATAGGGGAAAGGTTGAAAATAATGTTAAAAATCTTGCAACAAGGTGAAGTTATTTAAGAATAAGCCCGCCGGTGTAGCTCAGTGGTTGAGCATTGACCCATGCACCAATAGGTCACTGGTTCGATTCCTGGTCAGGGCACATGCCCAGGTTATGGGCCAAGTCCCCAGTGTGGGGCATGCAGGAGACAGCCAATTGATGTTCTCTCTCATCAATGTTTCTATCTCTCCCTCTCCCTTCCTCTTTCTCTAAAATCAATAAAGAAAAAATAAATAACCCTGGCCAGTTTGGCTCAGCAGTTAGAGCATTGGCCTGTGGACCAGAGAGACCCGGGTTCGGTTCCTGCTAAGGGCACGTACCTCTGTTGCGGTTTGTCCCTGGCCCTGGTTGGGGTCACATGGGTGGCAACCAGTTGATGTGTTTCTCTCACACTGATGTTTCTCTTTCTACCTCTCTCCCTCCCTCTCTATCTGAAGATGAATCAAAAAATGTCCTTGGGTAATGATTAAATAAATAAATAAATAAAAATTAAGAATAAAAGGAAATGGTCCTGGCCAGTATGGCTTGGTAGGAGCGTAGTCCCGTACGTTAAAAGGTTGTGGGTTCAATTCTCCAGACACATGCCTAGATTTCTGATTTTTTCGGGGTGCTTACAGGAGACCACCAGTCAATGTTTCTCTCTCACATTGATATTTCTCCCTCTCTCTCTCTAAAATCAGTAAACATATAATGCCAATGATACATCAGACAAGGGGTTAATTTCCAAAATATGTAGAGTACTCATATAACTCAACAAAAGGAAGCAACCCAATTAAAAATTGGGCAGAGGACTTAAAAAGACACCTCTCCAAACAGGACATACAAATGGCCAAGAGACATAGAAAAAATGCTCAATGTCACTAATCATCAGAGAGATGTAAAATAAAACAACAATAAGGTATCATCTCAAACCTGTCAGAATGGCTGCCATCAACAAATCATCAAACAAGTGCTGGTGAGGGTGTGGAGAAAAGGGGACTCCAGTATACTGCTGGTGGGAATGCAGACTGGTGCAGCCATAATGGAAGACAATATGGTGTTACCTCAAAAAGTTAAAAATTGAACTGCCATTTGACCCAGTGATCCCACTTCTAGGAATATATCCTAAGAAGCCTGAAACACCAATCAGAAAGACTATGTGTACCCCTATGTTCATAGCAGCACTATTTATAATCGCTAAGATCTGGACACAGCCCAAGTGTCCACCAGTAGATGAGTGGATAAAAAAGCTGTGGTACGTATACACAATGGAATACATAATATGCAGCTGTAAGAAAGAAAGATCTCTTGTCCTTTGAGATGACATGGAGGGACCTGGAGAATATTATCCTAAATGAAACAAGCCAATTAGAGAAAGACAAATATCACGTGATCTCACTTATTTGTGGTATATAATGAACAAAATAAACTGATGAACAAAATAGACTCAGAGACGTAGTAGTAGGGCACTGAGTGACAAACCTCAGAAGTGGGTTGGGGGGGAGGAAGGGAAGGAAGAGATAAAACACAGAACTGCCCTGGCCGGTTTGGCTCAGCGGTTAGAGCGTCGGCCTGCGGTCCGGAGAGACCCGGGTTCGGTTCCCGCTAAGGGCGCGTACCTCGGTTGCAGTTTGTCCCCGGCCCTGGTTGGTCGTGCGGGTGGCAGCCACTCGATGTGTCCCTTTCACATCGATGTTTCCCTCTCTCTCTCTTCCTCTCTCTCCCTCCCACTCTGTCTGTACAAAAAATGGAAAAATGTCCTCGGATGAGGATTAAAAAAAAACAAAAACAAAAAAAAAAACACAGAACTTATATGCAGGTATGCATAACCATGGACATGGACAACAATGCTGGGGACAGGTGCAGGGGCGGGATAGGGAGGAAGGGGTCGGGGCGGGGGGGGGACGAGAACCGTTTGTAACAAAAATAAATTAATTTAAATAAATAAATAAAATAAACATAACCTTGGGTGAGAATTTTAAAATAATAATAAAAATAGCCCTGGCCGGTTTGGCTCAGCGGTTAGAGCGTCGGCCTGCGGTCTGGAGAGACCCGGGTTTGGTTCCCGCTAAGGGCACGTACCTTGGTTGCAGTTTGTCCCCGGCCCTGGTTGGTCGTACGGGTGGCAGCCACTCGATGTGTCCCTTCACGTCGATGTTTCTCTCTCTCTCTCTTCCTCTCTCTCCCTCCCGCTCTCTCTGAACAAAAAAAATGGAAAAATGTCCTCGGGTGAGGATAAAAAAAAAAAATAAATAAATAAATAAAATAAATAAATAAATCAAAGGAAATGGATGATAAAGGAAGGGAAAAAATAAGGCTCAATTCTGAAGGTCCAACATCTAACAGGAGTTGCAGAAAGAGCTGGGAAAATGGTAGTAATATTAAGTAATTCAAGAAAATATTGTTGAATTTCTGGACAGAAAGGGTGCCAAGCACAGTAAATAAGCATCAAGGCATATATCATCATGAAATTTCAGAACTTCAAGGATAAAGAGAACTTCCTAAAGATTTCCAGAGAAAATTAAAAACAAATCATGCCCTGGCTGGTTGGCTCAGTTGGAGCATCGTTCTGGACACCAGAAGGTTTTGGATTCGGTCTCCGGTAGGGGCAGGTACAGGAGGCAAACAATCAACATTTCTCTCTCAGATCAATGTTTCTCCCTCTCTCCCTTCTTCTCTCTAAAATCAATAGAAACATATGCTTAGATGAGGATTAATTTTTTAATATTGTGTACTAAGGCTTAGGAAAATAAAGATATCAAACTGACTATTTAATAGCAATGCCGGAAACTAGAAGACAATGAA